TATATATATATATATATATATATATATATATACTATATATATATATATATATATACTATATATATATATATATATATATATATATATATATATATATATATATATATATATATATATATATATATATATATATATATATATATATATACACACGAATCCGATCCGAGTTTCGATAAAGAATTCCGATCCGAATATGAATAGTTTTATGCACTGCAAAAATTCCTTGAGTATTTTGACTCAAAAACTTATGATGCACCCACATTCCAGTGACTCAAAAGTTTGAGTAAAAATAGTCAAATTTATGAGCAAATTTATTCAATTATAAATGGTGTATTCGTCATGCATTCATTTGACAATGTCAAACATGCCGTACTGCTTCATGAAAATCAAGGGCTTAGTCCCCCTAATCAGGCGAGTAGTCACATATAACTCCCAATTACCAATGGAACCTCCTCCATTCCAATCTACGACAAGTCAACCTGTCGAGTACAGAGAGGTTGAAACTACTTACCCTAATTGCCTACCGATGTGTATACGATTGATCCTGCCTTGTACTGACCGCGTACAAATAACGTTCCCTGATACATCCCGCGGCATATCCCAGGCGCATGGTATGGATGAACCCATTGAAGCAACACGTTTAAGGGCAGATACTGGTACGTACTAACACCGGTAAGGGAAGCGAAGAACAAAAAAACAACAACGGAGAAACGTGGGACAAAGTGGGGAGGGAGAGGGCGGGATTTACAGCAACTGAGAAGGCAACTGAGAGGATAGCTTCCAAACCCACCAGCCCTTTTACCCTTGCTACCCGGGGTCCTTGCCCTAGGACTAAGCGCCGATACCGTGTTTAGCGAAGCGAATCAGCCCACATTGTTAACTTGTTTTCTTGTTATAAAAACATATTAAATGTGATAACCGGAAAGCCGTGATAATTTGAACGGGAAAGATCTCCAGGAGTATAAATCCTGGAAATTCTTGTTGCCCATTTAGGCTGATTTTCTGGTAAAATATAAAAGCATTGCCCGGCTATTAATTAACGTGGAAGGTATAAAACGTGAATTAAAGCTAAGAATGCCCAATTTTTGTTAGTGAATTTCCAGGCATTCTCTGAGCCCGAGGATCTAAATATTCAAAATTTTCTCGAGAAAGCATTGTAATATATAGACTCTAGATTACCAAACGACAAGTAAACTACAAGTCTTCGCTATGATGACCACTTATGACACAAACGTGTTTTACACACACTGCATGTATCTTTGATACTGCATATAAATCAAATATGCAAGCGATGATGTCCTTATATCAAAAGCAAGAACATACACTGATCAACAAACGATTTCCAGTTTCATAGCAACAGAATCTTAGTAAAAACTTTGTTCCCACACACCTGTAGATTTAAGTGAATTTGCTTTTCAAAACACTAATGTAAAACGTTAGTTACTGCATGACAAATAAAAGAAATAATTAGTCCTCATGCCACACTGCCAAGCAACAGTCGATTGACCGAATTTTCTCTGTCTTTCTCTGACTTTTGTTCTCTAAATAACTCTGTTCCTAATATAGCTCGGGGAAAAGTAGCCGAAAACGTAACGGTTACTTTAGCTTCCAGTCAGAGCGATTCCGGCAATAACTACTAAAATATTTTCTTTGCAAATTTTTCTTACAAATTAATTGAGAATCAAACTTAGGCCCGTTTCATACGCCGTACTTCACATGTGCCGAATACATTACAAACAATAGATAATGAGGTATTTCAGCTCATCTATTGTCTTTAATGTATTCGGCACATGTGAAGTACGGCGTATGAAACGGGCCTTATACAGTTATAGCATGCAATAAAGAATATTAAATAGCTCATTGTCATAAATCACGATTGTGCCTATCTGTCGCTTGCATGACAAATGAACTATGTAATAAAAATAACTCTTCGGCGGAAATTGTCTTCTTCGACCTGTTTAATTTTAAAAAATATATTTCTTTTTCTACTATAGCTCGGGAAAAACTATAAAACTTAAATATAATATAGCTTTAATATAGCTCGGGGAAAACTAGAATACTATAGGTTGTATTGGTGATCAGAGACGGCCAACAAATAAGAAGGTCGATATGATGTTAGAGAAGTAGGCTATATTTTTCCAGGTGTATCTCACATGGTTCAGTCATTCTAGGTTCAGTCAGTGTAACAAAAGTTGACTGACGTCATGCTCAACGAATTGGACAGATTATTTTAACAAGCAATTTAATTCAAATTTTTAACAAGCGCGTTTCAATGAAAAACTTAAATCCCCTCTAAACCTTTTGGGGGGATCTTAACGACTCAAAAAAAAGAAGCTTCCTAGGGCATTACAGTACCCCCCAGTTCTCAGAGCGAGGCCATGTCTCGTTTTAGGGGAGCACGCGTAATAATCAGTGATTTGTACCTTAAACCTGGAATATTTGTACCTTGAACCTGGACCGTAATAATCAGTGATTTGTACCTAGAACAAGTTCGTCATTACAACCAACCACCTCCCAACGTGTTTGGAGAACAAATTATAGAGTCAAATTATGGTATAGTCACGCCGACTGAACTGGAGCATAAATGTTGAATTTTGTACACCCGTATTTACCCGTAGTCAAATTTAACCTCCTCCGCAGGCATCTCAGGATAATCAGAGATGGAACTCTGAGATGCCTGCAGTGGCGCGTAACGGAGGTAGAGGAGTCATTGTTTGCATGACCGTGGATGTTATAATTTATATTTGTATTGAATAGTTGTTGCTATTGTTATAGACATGGAATTTTCCAGAGTAACTGTCTCCAACACATGTAACAACTAATAAGAATAACTTTTGCTTTATTTTTGAGATGGAATAAAAAGTCAGCTGCCCGTTGTCGATGATGAGTCTTTCAGATTATTTAGCATTATTAATTTTGATTTTCCCACTGATTCTTAACCTGCATTTTTTTACGTTTTCTAATTTTCTGGGCGATAGGCCGTGGCTGATGGGGGCCCCTAACTGTTGTGCCCAATGAGCGTTACGCCACTGGATGCCTGCGGAGGTTCTGCGGAGGAGGCTAAGTCAAATCTAAAACTAGGAAGCAAGCGTAATTCAATTTTTTCAGCAACGCCAACCTACGATGACACAAACCATTTCATTTTCAGATACAATAACTCGATGAGGCTATACAATTACTTTATGGTTTCCTTGTTTGGATGCCCTGATCCAAACACGCGGGAATGTTGCGAGAGTTAAGAAAAGCGCGCGAACACGAGCCGAAGGCGAGTGATTTTGCGCGCTTTTCTTAACTCGAACAACATTCCCAAGTGTTTGCAACTTTCCGTGTTAAAATTTCACTTTAAAAAACGTTTATTTTAATTTAAATTTCCGTGTTTGGATGGCCTGATCCAAACACGGGTTTCGACCAATCAGAGCAAGCGTTAGATACATGTTATTTTATAAAAACATTTCATATTCGAATATGAAGTGATGAATTGCGAATTTGAAATTATGCAGTTTTGTAGTGCTGCAAAACTTTATGTAAGAGGAATATAGCGGAGAGACCAATATGGCGAACAATTTCTCTATTTTTGCTCGCATCTTTGAAGCATTTTTGGACAAAATGTTTGTGTATGTATTGGCTTGAGCCTTGAATAAATTATGAAAATATCCCGTCGTTGATCGTGATAAGGTATTTAGAATTTGTACACTTCGTATTTAATCATCAATAAATCATGTGACAGTGACAATATTTTCAATGTTTACAATTGGAATTCAAATACCAAATAATCAAAAATATGCAAATCATGCAGCCACGCAGAGATGTCAACGTTGCCTAGGCAATAGTATTTTCGTTAAAGCCATGAACAACTGCTCGATTTTGGGTTTATGTTCAATGGAATTCAAAGCTTTCAAGTATTTGTGGGGTAAGTCTTTGCAAGACATTTAAAATATTACAGCGAATATTCACAGGAAAATTTGTAAAATAGTTTCATTTTATACACACAAATTAAGATGCTTTCTGTATTAATGTTAGTTGAAAATTATTAGTATTACTATACTACAAAATTAATTTTCAACTAACATTATTAGTAGTATTCTTCATTCAGTTGCAATTACTTACAAGTTGTATTAGATCTCAAATTTAATATAGTGGCATTTAATAGTGTAAAATATCCAGTAAGTTTCAGGTTTCATTATTAACACAATATTGTGGCTCATATATATACATGTATATATATGGTCCACAATATTGTGTTAATATAATGAAACCTGATCGAATATATATCCATCAGATCTTTCGATGTTTTTTAATATGTTTGTAGTTGAATTATCAGAAAGTCTTTTATCATCATGAAACGTATAGTTGCTCCCATTGAGGCCCGGATTTGCAGCTCCATCTTGCCAATTAAGTGGGTAAACACAATAGACTAACAATACCATTACCTTTAAGTTACGGACAAGTATAATTCCCGTTAGGATAAGGCAGTTTTTACCATAAATGTGTTTGTCCCTATTTGGAAGATAGCATTAACATCCACAAAGGCATATTTATGCCATGTGTGTTAGCCACATACTGTACAGATTGTAGAATTACTAGATCGACGCTTCGAATTGCTAGATCGACGCTCTACCAACTGAGCTACACGGTCAGACGGATTTAAGACTGGAAATTATGAAATATATACTGAATGTCATAAACATACTCATTTATATTAATTCAGCATCGAACAATACTAGTTCTGCAAGTGTTATGTTAGTTGTGTTAATTATTGTACACTCCGTAATATGTTAAGATGGAAATGTTTTCATTGTAATATGTTACAGAGTGTGCAATAACACAAGTAACATACAGTAACACTTGCAGAACTAGTATTGCATAATATATTCAATTGAAAAATTGTATTAAAATATTAAATTATATATATATATATATATATATATATATATATATATATATATATATATATATATATATATATATATATCATCACTAGCAGGTTGGGTTTGCTGTAAAATTCACTTGTTATGTGAATTTTTGGAGAAAATGAACAGTATGTTAAAGATGCGGCACAGTCCGATCTGCGCATGTGCACAAATTAAGGAGCCCTCTTTTTATTTACAAACAGTTTATTTAGGTTTTTATTTCATTTTGTCTCTTGATAATCTATTATACTCTAGAATCATGAAAATATATATATAGTTGTTGAATAAAATTCAATATTTTGTTTACATACGGACTGTACTGCATCTTTAATGATATCTCACTCTTCTTTCAAATTTGCTACTCATATTTTATTGGAATACAAATTATTATTATGATAATCACTGTATATGAAAGAAATTGAACATGCAGTGCAATTCTAATTTGATTAAATGTGAAAAAACATAGCAATGATCAAGTCAACATAACATGGGTTAATTAACATGTTTTTGTTTATCTCTGAAGTGGCTGGAAATGCAATTTCAGAGCTTTAAAACTAGGTGAGCATGTTCTCCCAAAACCTGCTTAGTTTGTATAATGGTTGCCCCATTATATTCTTCAGGTCATGAGTTCCAGATCCTTTTACCAACACTTGAAACATATATATTGCCTGTTTGATTCATTTCTGATGAACCACATATTGGGTGCAGGGCCGTGCCAACCGGTTTCTGGTTGGGGGGGGGGGGTTGTATTCCAAAATTTGGGCCCCTTTCAATTCCAGGGCCCCCTGAAAAAATCTTTTCCAGAAAGCAAATATTTTTCCGGAAAATGTTGGCGACGGGGGCGGGGGTTGACGTTATGTTTCCGAAAACAAAACTTCCCAAAATTGTTTCGCGCAACACAACATTCCCAGAAAATTCCATAATTCAGCACAAAAATCCTTCATTTTTTACAAATTTTGCAATTCTAGCATGCCAGGCCCCCCTCCCTGCAAGTTGGGCCCCTTTTTTTACTTTTTTTTGGGTGTGTTATCCCCAGTGGCACGGCCCTGACTGGGTGGTCAAAGCAACACACTGCAAATTCTATAAATTAATAGCAAATAAAAGACTAGAATGTAAATAAAACTGTTTCAATCTAAATGTTGACCAGGCCAATATATAAAGCCAATTGAATTTGTCTGTGGTGGACAAAGCTGCGCATCATTTATGGAGGATTGTTAGTAATGAAATTACCTGAATTTAACCTATTTTCTCTTAAATCTGCCCGACGTTTCTTGATTTTTCCTGGCACTTGCCCCAATTTCCATGGTTTCCCCCCAATTGTTTTTTTTTTGGGGGGGGGGGGGCAGTTGCCCCCTGCCCCCTGTCTAATTGCATGCCCTGCATGGTTTTCATGCAGATTGATTAATGCAGCAGCTTTTCTCTTTGATGAATAAAGAGCCTATAGTCATGCTGTAATTTGCAAGATACTTTGCAATTTCCCCCTAATAACACGCACTGCACAGCAGGAACATTGTTATTACGTACAGACTGTAATTACATACACAGTTTGATATATGTGTGATGGAGTAAATTAATCTGTGCCATAATCCCAAAATGTTGCCAGTATTTTGCTTTTTTTGTATTACGTACAACTTAGATTAAAAATTAAAGCGAAATGATAATTACAGAATGAAATTGTTGAGGAATGAAACAAGCGAAGAAAAATCCAGACAAAACTCTTCATACTGTATATATCCACGTATAATAAGATCGCTTTTTAACGTTAACATTGTCGTTTAGGAGCCATTTAATTTGTATTCAACGAATGAAAAGGAAAACCTAAGATGGAGATGTTCGAAGCGAAAGAAGGAAAGTTGACTCAAAATGGAAATACGTTACCCCATCTTGCACCTTCTGCTGATCATTCAAAATCAAGTTCAAAGGGACACAAAAGAAAGAGAAGAAGGAGGAAACAAGAAATCGTCGGTAGTAGAGCAGAAAATGACAACGATATTCTTGTAGAGAATGATGGATTAGTTCACAGAACAGACAGTGTTCCAAGCACTGCTAGTGGGTCGTATACAAACCTTGTAGCAAACGAAATTGCTGGGAGGAATGGTGATATAAAGCAGAAAGGGGATAAATCAGACTTCCCTGAAGACGTGAGAAAAGTTGCTCTCACGCTCGCAGTTAGTAGCATGATGAAACCCAAAGTTAAAGAAAACCTAACCACACTTGATCATGTTGATTATGTGCTGGTTTATTCTGATGATGAGAAACACAAGCAGTTGAGTAACCAAGTTCTAAATGAACTTAGAAATAAGTTTGAAAAGAAAGTGGAACTTGAAGGACTCTCAATTGTGAGGAAGAAAAAAGGAAATTCAACTTTTGTTGTTATGAGTTGTTCTTTTGAGAGACTTTGTAAAGAGGCGGAAGCAGTGTCCTTAAAAATGCCGCTGGCCGGGGTAGGTATATAATTTCAGTTTTAAACGCTCAGTTTCATGGATCTTAAAATAAAACTCAAATATTATTGATGTTTAACTACCCAGCGAACTAGGGCGCTTATTTATAGTATAAGAGTCCTGGAGTCAGTTGTGTAAAAGCTCAACTGTACCGACACCTGCGTGTTGTAGTTAAATTGTAGTTAACGCTAAGATACGCGATTTTCATTTGGTTAACTTTTGCACTAACGACTTTTTTTCTATCGACTTCTGATGCCAACAGTGACTTACCTTACAAATCATAGTCGTACCAAATAAAGGATAAGGCAATTGACCATTTGCGTAATAGACTAAATTTTGAACTAAACAAGTCTAAACAAAAATTTCATCACAGCTTGAAGGAGCATCACAAAATTAGTAATATTCCAAAGTTTCGTTGCAAAATGTTGTAAAATGCGGAAAATATAGCCTTGCGAAATTTGCAATTTTCAGTCATTTTAGATTACAAACGGGGAATTGACAGCCCCAAACCCTTCGAGGCTGTCAATTTCCGGTTTGTAATCTAAAATGACTGAAAATTGCAAATTTCGCAAGGCTATATTTTCCGCATTTTACAACATTTTGCAACGAAACTTTGGAATATTACTAATTTTGTGATGCTCTTTCAAGCTGTAATGAAATTTTTGTTGAGATCAAAATTTAGTCTATTACGCAAATGGTCAATTCTTTTAGGACTCTACTTCCAGGATACGCTGCGGTCTGCTGCATCTCGTGTGCTCACCGAGCATGCACTTGATCGAATGTCCAAATTAGAACATCCAGTAATCATGTAGAAAATTACTGTAGCCCAGTCCTAAATAGGCACGTCATGCGCTATTAGAATCAGTATGAAAACGTGCTGCCTAATTTTTTTGTTACCTATTTTTGCAATTCAATTTTCAAAACAATTTTTCACCTGCGACAATATTTTCCATGAAAGAGTGACGGTACTTTGGTTGTTTACTATTTATTATTACAAGCATATTTTTTATTTAAAAACTATTTTCCAAATGTTTGCCCCAAAACATTAATTATTTTCAAACAAACTCACACATAGACAAACACACAAGCCAATTAAGCAATAGCGAGAGAGAAGCGATCAGTATTCAATTTAAAACTTTGAACTACACGAAAAAGCAAACTTAACAATTGCTTAAATTTTCACAATGAACGATTTTATTGAAAAAGTTGTCCTCTTTTTCTGGATGGTACGTTTCATATGTTCAGCTATGTTTATTTACACCTCACCAATTACTAAATGTGTTTTCTTACCAATCCCAAAGAATATTTAAGAATATTATGCGCCTATTCCAGGATAATATTTCCAATTAATTGGAAATATTACAGGCAGCTTTTAAACTATTGCCGCAGATCGTACATTCATACATAAACGTAACCCTGCCCTCCCCCCCTTCCCCCACCTTACAATGTTGGTGCCGCGGCTATTTTCTATCGCAAAATGTTGACTAATACTCGTGATTATCATATGTTCTTGAACACAACATTGTATGGGAGGGAAGCACAATGTAAGCCCAAAATAATGTACTTTCTTTTCAAATAATAAAAGTTTTCAACTTGTCCCAAAGTAATTGTTCCATGATTGTAGTTTGACTTTTCGTGTTAATGATAAACAACGTTCATTTCGGCCTATGAACTGAAGAAAGGAGTATAATCATGTTATGTTACAGTAGGTGATAGGCTACAGTTAGTGAAATCCGTGTCTTAATTCCTCTAATTTGGGGATACATTCCTCTAATGTCTTCAAACGCGACCAAAACAATTTCATTTTATTCCTTTAAGTTTGAAGCGCCATGTGATAGCGGGCCTTTGCCGGGATTTTGGAAACGATTCAAAACAGATGATGAAGGTATTATTCAGATTATTTTCAATCCTCTTTGAAATAACTGTGCACTGCTATCGGTCAAAATATGAGTTGTTCTATAAATACTAAATAGTTTTTAATATGATATTGATACTTTAATGTTTTAGTTGATCTCGTTAGTGCGGTATTCTGTGCGTCAAAAAAGGAAATTTATGATGGTATTGAAGATCCCAACTCCTTTTTTCGACCTTCACTTCGAACTTTATTGGTAAGTAATTCAGACTTTATTGGTAAGTAATTCAGACTATATAATATTTCTTTCTGAAAAATCTTTCTTAAGGTACGTTTACACACAACGATTAATCGGGCCGTTTCATAGGCAGCCCACTAAACGACTGAATTTAAATTAAAACTACAATGAAATTATAAAATTTAACGAAAATAATCACAAATTAGCGAAATATATTGCAAAATGAAGCTTATATTAAATCTCCACTCGATTGCACCATATGATTGCACTATCGGCGAACTGACGTATATTAAAGTATACCTAAGGTTGGCAAGGGGTTTCAACTGATTGAACTACACACAAAAATATATCCGTAGTATTTTAAAATGCAGAAAGAAACTAGCCCTAAAAACAACATAAACATAAACAAGGATAATTTTACTAACCTGTCTGTAACTTTTTTTGTCAAAGTACAGCTTTAAATGTTGATAAATTTACGAAAGTTTACGGTGTTTTCTCGATATTTTTCTCTGTGACTATGCGGGATGCTCGCATCCTGCTACTGGACAAATTTTTCAAAATAAAACTCTGCTGTTCATTGGCTGTAGCAAGTTTCGTCGTCAGCGATTTCGTTCGTTACTTACGACGAAACTTGCTAGCAGAGTTTTATTTTGAAAAATTTGTCCAGTAGCAGGATGCGAGCATCCCGCATAGTCACAGAGAAAAATATCGAGAAAACACCGTAAACTTTCGTAAATTTATCAACATTTAAAGCTGTACTTTGACAAAAAAAGTTACAGACAGGTTAGTAAAATTATCCTTGTTTATGTTTATGTTTATGTTGTTTTTAGGGCTAGTTTCTTTCTGCATTTTAAAATACTACGGATATATTTTTGTGT